GATTTGGAAGACAGAGACTCTAATGATTTTAGTGATGAAAAAAGGACAGATATTTCTAAGGGGACAGCCAAAAATAGTAAAATGAAGCCAGAAATGGATTGGAATAGTCTAAAGGAAAAATGGGACAGTATGAGGAGAGCCTATTCTGTTCATGAGCCAAGAAGTAGGGATCACATGGATTCTGTGGACTGGGAAGCAGTTGGGTCAGCAGACCCTATTAAGATTGCAGCTGCCATCAAGGAACGTGGCCAACATAACACCATAGCAAGAAGAATTAAGGTTTAAGAAACTAAAGTGAAATAAAAAAAATAAAAAGGGTGTTCTAAGGTAATAATGCAAATAAACAAAAGGCTTGGGGCTAAGGTCTCTGACTTTCCACATCGTTTCTTTTTCCTACAGGAGTTTATTAATCGAACAGCTAGAATGCATGGCCACATTGACCTCGAATGGCTTAGATATGCTCCTCCAAATGATGTTAAGTAAGTCTACTTTGAAGGCTGAAACTCTTAACATTCCAAGAACAAAAGAACTTTGATTTTTTAAATGTCACATTTAGATATATTACTTGTGCGTGCCTGCAGGGCATATCTATTGGAGATACATGGGCTAGGATTGAAAAGTGTAGAATGCGTAAGGCTTTTATCACTTCAGCAAGTTGCCTTTCCAGTAAGATATATATGAATTTATGATTTGTAAGATATGTATTCCATGCATAACTCCTATTTTTCTTTGAATGAGGTGGACGTAAATGTTGGTCGAATCGCAGTTCGAATAGGATGGGTTCCTCTTGAACCGCTGCCTGAGGAGGTTCAGATTCATCTTCTAGAGACGTAAGTATAGAATATAAAGAATAAGCATCGTTCATATGACCAATAGAGAGACGTTAACATGTCTTCTGTGTAGGTTCCCTATGATGGATTCTATTCAAAAATATCTATGGCCAAGGCTCAGTACACTTGACCAACGAACTCTGTAATTCTCTATTACTTCCCATTTTAAAATTAAATATGTACTTTATAACGTCTATCAAACAAGCAAAAGTTCACACTTCAAGCTTTTTACTATAGGTATGAACTGCACTATCAACTGATAACATTTGGAAAGGTAAACCTTATGATCCTAGCAAGCGTATATGGCCAGAGCATCATTTGATTCTATATAAAACATTTTAAGTGAAGTATTTGATTATTTACCTTGAACACTCATCTGCAGGTCTTTTGCACGAAGAGAAAACCAAACTGCAATGCTTGTCCGCTGAGGGCCGAATGTCGGCACTACGCTAGCAAATATGCAAGGTATGGACAAATTAGTGCATGGATTTTCAATTCAGAAATAAAAGCAAATTTTATACGGAGTTGTGTATAAAACAAATTTGGAAGGATTGAAAACTCATTTTTGTTGCTTTCAACAAGCGCAATCAGAAATTATAACAGATCTGACCTTGCATTGTCCTGTGAAGAGGTTGATTTTGTGGCAGAACACTTCAAATGAAAGCCAAGTGTTGTGAGGTTGTGTGCAAATTATAGAGATTTATAGGTTCTATGATTGTATTCTCTTCTGAGGTCCTATAATCAAAACAGTGCAAGGCTCGCATTACCTGGATTACCAGAGAAAAGAATGGTAAGTACAATGATCCCGGAAAAAAGGTATGAAGGCACTGCTCAAGTGATGAATCCAGCACCAGTACTCCATATCGAAGGCAATCCATCTTCAGAATCGAGATATGAAACCATCAATTGTGAACCTATCATCGAAGTGCCTCGATCACCTGAACATGCATATGATGAATCACAATCGACAGACATTGAAGATTTATATGAGTATGATTCTGATGATGTTCCAGTAATCAGACTTGACTCCGGACAATTTACAACTTCACAGAACTGCATGGACAATAACATCACTGGAGCTTTGATTCCTTTGAACAACAGAGTTGCTTCCATCCCAATGCGCAAACTGAAGCATGTAGATCGTCTGAGGACAGAACATCAAGCGTAAGTATGGCCGTTAAGCATCGAGTTTCAGCTATTATGGAAACGAGTATTCTCTAAAACACATATTATAAAAGAAACTAATTGCAACTGACATGATGCAGCTATGAACTTCCAGATACACATCCTCTCCTATATGAGGTAAAAACATTTCCCAGTAACCTGACCGGAAAATCAATCATTTATAGTCGTGTAATAGATCGTTTCTATCTGTCTGTCTACAGCTAGAACCACGAGAGCTAAATGATGCTTGCCCGTACCTTTTGTGCATATGGTCACCAGGTACTGCTTCGAAAATTCTGTAAACGTTCAAATCTCAATAAACCAATATAATGATCAGAAACATCCAGTGCTCAATTTATAATTGATGTTTTCAGGTGAAACTATAGATTCATCTGAGCCACCCAATACAAAATGCACGTACCAGGAAACGGGAGAGCTTTGCAGTGAAGGATCATGTTCATCCTGCAACATTCTCAGGAAACAAAACAGTGGAACAGTTCACGGAACGATTTTGGTAAGTAATAAAGCAAACTTCCAAGATGTTATTAATTGACAACTTCGTAAATCCGCCAATATATGAACCAATATTGTTCCAGATACCCTGTAGAACAGCCATGAGAGGCAAATTCCCATTAAACGGGACATATTTTCAAGTCAACGAGGTTAGTCAAAAACTTCACGTTGGAATTCTTCCATGAGCCACAGTATTTCTATGAATCATACGCAATTCGAATGCAGGTTTTTGCCGATGACGAATCAAGTAAAAACCCCATTAGCGTTTTTAGGGAATGGATATGGGATCTCCCGCGAAGAATTGTGTATTTCGGAACCTCAACGGCAACAATTTTCAGAGGTAAATTAACATATAACAGAGCACAGCTATGGCTATTAATAATCTAACACTCCTTGTTTACAGGCTTGGGAATTGATGATATCCAGTACTGCTTCCAAAAAGGTATGAACAAAAAACTTACATTCATCGCCATATCAACTCCTGGAATCACTTGAAACATTTATCGAACTTAGCTCATTGTGTTTTTCTTTACCAGATTTAGCAGATGAGTTTTGTCGTTTGTGTCGTTTTGTAGGATTCATTTGTGTGAGAGGATTCGATCGAAGAACACGAACTCCAAAACGACTAACGGAGCGGTTGCACAGACAAACCAACTCAGCAGCTAAAGCTAGGGCAAACAAAAACACCGATCACAAACCTTGAGTGACATCTTTTTTTTTTTTTTCTGTTCATAAATTCTTTAATTAATTTTTTTTAAATTTGGATTTAATGATATGGTAAATAATGAACGAGACGGTAGCCGATACCGTAACCAAGACCCGCTCCTAGTGTAGTAGAGTAGGAGTGAAAGAACTCGAGATAACTACTAGCTTCTAAATAAAATGCATTCCTTTTTCGTCCCAAATATATTTAGAATGCGTTCTTTTTTTCGTCCCAATATTTAAGTATATTTCATCGACGAAAAGATTAAAAATATTTAAATGTTTTTAGATAAATAGGGTTCTGGCAGGTTAGTTGTGAAGCCGTTGGTGCTGGGAGGGAAAGCGAGGGGTACACAAATGGAGGATACGTCGTCGTTTTGACCCAACGACTCACAGAGCTCCACGTCACTTCTTCCTTCACCTACTACAAATTGGCGAACCTACCCCTCGTCTCTCACCTACCCACCCCTCTTCTTCACTCTCTATTAATTATGAAAATGTTATCAGTTTTTTTAGATTATTTCATAAAATAATATTAATGTCACGTTCTTTTAACTTTAATTCTTCCCGCTTTGGTATTTAGATATTTCGAAATTTAAAAATAATTAATTTAGACGTCATACAAAGTTTGTTGACTTTTTTAGGGGAAAAAAAAATCTGAAGTAATAATAAACGAGGGCGAGTCTTCGTTTGTATATTGAATTTTTCAAAGCTGGGTTGGTAAAAACTTAAAAGAATAGATTTTTTAAAAATCCCATAAAAATGTCAACAATAACAGCTGCAACGAGTCACCCTCCAACAATATAATATATATATAGATACTGGGTTATATACTAAGTTATATATGTGCTGTGAGCAGTTGTTATTTATCTCTCTTGTTTGCTTATATAGTCTCTTCCAAAAATTTCTCTTTTCGAAAATCTCTCTTCTAAACCTTTTCTTAAAATAGAGGATAGAGGCTCGAGCATAGGCAACATAAGAACGAATTGGGCACAACCGCACTCTCATTTTCTAAAACTTTTCTTAAAACAGAGGTCATACAAGTCCGCTGTCATTAAAAGTGCGAGTGTGACAAGTTAAAAATAAAAAAATAAAAAGTTAAATGAGTAGTACATTTAATGTAAATATAAATAAACAATAAACGCAGAAATTGAAGTAAAAAACGACCCATAATTTAATGTAAATATAACTTTAAATGGAACATAATTAATACAAATATAATTCAATTGAAATTAGTACCCCTATTCCACATAACAAAAAATAAATAATAGCAAACACAAGTAAATAATAAACGCAGTGAAAAAAAAAAAAAAGTTAAAAACATAGACGCGTGAGGGCGAAGTGTAGCGGCTGTCGTCGTTTTAACTGAACGACTCACAGGCCTCCACGTAACCTCTTTACCTACCACAGATTGGCGCACCTACCCCTTCTCTAACATACCCACCCCCTTTTTTTTTTCTCTCTCCATCAATCAATAAAATATTTATGTTTTTATGAATAAAATATTTAAATTCATTGATTATCTTATTAAAGTTTGAAATTCGATTAAGTTTATATGTGCATTAAGAATTAAGTAAATGTGGAGATAATTGGAGCTGAAGTCAAATTTAAAAAATTAATCAAAATTCAATTGAAAAATGTTTAGTTTTTTAATGACAAATTTTGTAACAGAAATTAATAAGAACAAAATTGAAAATAACAGCTCAATCCATAGAACATATAGATTTAAACATTTATTTTTGTGGAAAATTAATATAAATGTAGGGAAAAAAATGTTTGTGGGAGCCCCAATAATAACAAGCCACAAAATAACATGATCCAGAATTTGGGAACCTTACAACCGTACGGATGAAACGCTGCCATGAACGTCGTTTAATCATTCCAGCCACATGACATACATACATACATACATTGAATATATTATATATTTTTTTTACATTTACCAACCTCTCGTGACCCGCCGTCGCCGCCTTGCGCTACCAATCGCTGCCGCCGTGACTTTTTTACCACCTCTACGACGGCTCACAGTGAAACGAAAATATGGAAAAGGAACAGAAAATAGAAGGGTGATTTTGGGAATTTTTTTCCTCACCAGACGTTCTTCAATGGAAAATCTCGATCGCCGATGTGTGATTGTGCTAGTCTCTGCCGGAAGGGGACCAAGGAGTCATGTCCATTGGATAGCTTCCCAAGACTCGGAGGAAGGATGTGAACTCCTGGACTTCTGCTAGAGCGTTTTGTGCCCTAGTTTCGGCCATGGAGGCTTCGAAATCGACGTAGAACATGTACTCGAAGTGCTTCGCTGTTCCGACGTTGGCGTCGTCGACCAGGCGAATAGGGCAATTTCTGTGCGGCCTGGATTCGATCTTCGTCAAGCTGATGTTGCGGAAGGCGAAAGCGGAGAGTACCTTGAATAGCGCGGATGTTCCTTTATCGTGAGCGAACACGATGCTGGTTTTGAACGGTCGATCTGTACGGGGAATAATCGGATCTCGGGCTAACATAACAAATCGGGTCACGTTATTCGAATCGTCCTGAATCCCGTCTGCTATGACCTGGAGGCCGTACAGTTCGGCGGCGCGTGCGCTCGCTATCGCCGCTGTATCGAGGAGGTTGTTCGCCGCAATGTACTCCGCCGCGCCGGCGGTATCGTCGACAGCCTCACGAGTGACATTGAGCCCTAACTTCGTCAAAGTGAGTTCGCACTGCGCTAGGGCTTGGGGATGCGAAATCACTCGATTCAAGTACTCTTTTCGGACTCCTGGAAGGGCGAGAAGGCAGTGGTGAACCGGTAATTGAACCTCGCCGACTATGTGAAGCCGATGGCGGAGCAGGAGATCATAATTCCTATGGATCGAACCGCCGAGAGAGTTTTCAACCGGTAAAACCGCTCGATCGGCGATCCATAGCTCCACCGCTTGAAAAGCCACCTCGAATTGATCGCAGGGAATGGCATCGCAATTAGGATACGCCTTTCCGGCAGCAGCTTCAGAATAGGCTCCCGGAACGCCTTGGTACGCCACACGGAGCTTCTCGCCGTGCATCGGAGCCGGAGAGAAGTCAGTAATCGTGAGCGGCTTAGGTTGCAACTTGGTTATATTATAAGCATCTGAAATTTTCCCAATCCGAACCAGATTAAGATTCTCAACATTCGTCTTGTGGCCATTGACCGATGCAACATGGCCGGCACCGCCTCCTCCAGCAGATAAATCTCCAGATTGTTGCTGAGAAACAACGTTGCTAGCGAGGATGGCGCAGGAGCTTTGCCAATCAGCTCGGGAGAGACCAACGCCATTCTGAGCACTGAAAGATTCAGGTCCATGGACACATTGGACGGTGAAGAAGTGGACCGGCAGAAGGCGGGGAAAGGAACGTCGGTGGTGGAAGGTACGGAAAGCCGGCACCGGAGAATAAGGACTGAAAGCCTGCATAATTAATGGAAGAGAAAAAAAGAAGAAAGAAGACGACCCAGCTTGGTGTTCACTTGAGAAAGGGAACCTCAAGCTGAGAATCCAAAAGAAACGATCGCTAAGTATATATATCAAGAGAAAAAGAGTTGGAATGGACGAATTGTTTCTTAAAAATTAAATAATTAAATAAAATTAAAAAAAAATGAAAAATTGCTATTCATTAATTAATTTTGGTATTTGCCAATCCAACAGACTCCGGCGAATTACAGTCCCGCCAATTATAGATGGTTAGATGAACTTGACTCATGACTTCTAGCTAACACATGACTATTCCCGTATGAAACTTTCATGAGATGAAATGGCTAACCTAGTTTGGGACCGACCGCTTGGTCTCCGCCTTTATGGACCATGATTACAGAACTTCTAAACCTAACCTCTAAGAAAACGGCACCAAGAGATAGAGTTTCGAGGAAGACACGTCAGCCAATGGCGAGTCACTCAAGGCAACCGGGCATGCCTTCAATATAAATCTTTTTTATAACGTTTTATTTATTTTGCAATCAATGTCGATCAAAATAGGGGTTTTTTGGTAAATTATGACAAATGCATTTCTACTCTCGTAAAATTAATTCGAAAAATTATTTAAACATCATTTATAACAATTATTATGCATTAATGGTTATAATGTGTACTATAATTTTATTTAAAAATTGATTTAAATACTAAATTGCAAATGTTCTCGCTTAACCTTATCTACGATGTGACTTATTGAATATTTTATAATACTAAAAAAAAATCAAAGATAAATGTATTTTCGCACGAGGATAATGACCATATAATAAATTACGTAATAATTTCAATATATTTTTCTTGTCGTGATTGTGTGTTGGTAGGGAGTAGATAATTCTTTTATTAGAGCGTGTTTAATTTAAATATTTAATTATATATTTTAACTAATTAAATAAAATTCGACCATCGATCATATTTTAAAGTTAAATTAGCGAATAATTTAATTAATAAGTTAAATCTAGGGGTAAAAAAAAAAAAAGAAACATATATGTGGAGTGAAAGATAATGTGATGTCATATGGGGCGTGTTAGTTGTGAGTTGTGATTGTGGTGGCGTTGGAAGAGGGAAGCGTCGACAAAGGGAGATTAGCGGTAGCTACGGCGTCGTTTTGATCCAACGACTCACAAGGCTCCACGTCACTTCTTCAACAACCACAAATTGCCATACCTACCCCCTCTCTCACCTACCCATCCTGCTTCCTCTCTCTCTCCCCTCATTAAAATAATTGAATTCTTCGTTACTAAAATAAGTTTCCAAAAAATCATTAATATTTAAATTTTTAGAAAACATTATATTATATTATATTTTTTTTAATGATATGTTATTATATTTATTATGATGCTATGCATTTGTTTAATATCAATTATATTAAAAATTCATTTGAAATAAACATTTTAAAGATGTATATATAAAAATTACAAAACTCAAATCCAAAAATAAATGAAAAGTTTGTGTGGATAGAAAATAAATAAATGGTAACCAATCTGCCTCTAAACATCTCTAAAACAACATGCCTATTTACAGTAAAAATTAGGTTTAATAGTAAAAATTAGGTTATATTATAAATTTGGAATTAAATATGATTACTTAGAATCTATCAAATTATACAAACTAATTATAATTTTTTTTTTAATATAATTTCTATTTTTTAAAATTTTTTCTAGAAAATTTCTTCTCCCACAGATAAATTTTACCATTAGCTAAATCAATTTTGGTCACTGGTATTTACTAATATAATATATTTTAATCTTATAAAAATAAAATATATATTTTTTATTTCATCAATTAAGACGAGAGAAATTATTGTTGGATGAAAGTCCCACCTCGATTAATTTAGGGAATGATCATGGGTTTATAATCAATAAATACTCTCTCCATTGATACGAGGCTTTTTGGGAAGCTTAAAGCAAAACCATGAGAGCTTATGCTCAAAGTATACAATATCATACCATTGTGGAAAGTCGTGTTCATCTAATATGGTATCAGAGTCTTGTGGAAAGTCGTGTCCATCTAATATGGTATCAGAGTTCTGTGGAAAGTCGTGTTCATCTAATATGGTATCAGAGTCTTGTGGAAAGTCGTGTCCATCTAATATGGTATCAGAGTTCTGTGGAAAGTCGTGTTCATCTAATATGGTATCAGAGTCTTGTGGAAAGTCGTGTCCATCTAATATGGTATCAGAGTTCTGTGGAAAGTCGTGTTCATCTAATATGGTATCAGAGTCTTGTGGAAAGTCGTGTCCATCTAATATGGTATCAGAGTTCTGTGGAAAGTCGTGTTCATCTAATATGGTATCAGAGTCTTGTGGAAAGTCATGTTTATCTAATATAGTATCAGAGTCTTGATTTAAGGAGGGAGACAACAAATGTGGTATCAGAGTCTTGTGGAAAGTCGTGTTCATCTAATATGATATCAGAGTCTTGTGGAAAGTCGTGTCCATCTAATATGGTATCAGAGTTCTGTGGAAAGTCGTGTTCATCTAATATGGTATCAGAGTCTTGTGGAAAGTCATGTTTATCTAATATAGTATCAGAGTCTTGATTTAAGGAGGGAGACAACAAATGTGGTATCAGAGTCTTGTGGAAAGTCGTGTTCATCTAATATGGTATCAGAATCTTGATCTAAGGGAGAGATGTAGTATTCTAGAGGGGAGGAGGCTAATTTAGGGAATGATTATATATATATATATATATATATATATATATATATATATATATATATATATTTTGTTGATTATATTTTAAGAACTAAAAAAAATACAATTTAAATAAATAAAGATTTTATGCCCATAATATATAATATAGATTAGGAATAATATTAAAAAATGTTCAATAAATATTTTCTCCATTGGTATGAAGCATTTTTTGGAAGCCCTAAGAACTTATGTTCAAAGTAAACAATATCATATAATTGTGGAAAGTCGTGTTCATCTAACATGGTATCAGAGCCTCCATTAAGAAGAGACGTGCTTTGTTGGAGGGGAGGAGACTAATTTAGGGAATGATCAATTATTTATTATTATTATTATTATTATTATTTTTTGTTATAAAAATGTTGTTTTTATTTTAAGAACTAAAAAAAAACAATTTAAATAAATAAAGATTTTCTGCCCCATAATATATAATATAGATTACGAATAATATTAAAAAATGCTTAATAAATCTTCAATTAAGAGATGTGGATTGTAATATATTCACAGCCATAAAAAAATTGAAATTATTGAAATAATAATAATAATAATAATAAAATAAAAAAAGCAAAATAAAAAATAAAAAAGGAGTGGCGCGAAACTACAACGTACAGGAAGCGGAAAGACGAATTAGGAAAGTCCCCGATGTTCTCTCTTAATCTTACCCCTGCAGCCCATCACTCGTACTTCCCCCTCCCCCAGAAAAGATTCGGCTGCTTTCCGGCGAGGTTTCCGATCGGTTCCTTCACTGTTCGATCGTCATCCAGTCTTCAGGAGGTCGAGAAGTTTACAGAGTCATCGGCTGAAGGGAAGGATCTCAATTCGGAGCTCTACGCTTCGGTTCCGTTGCCTCCGATCAAGACTTCAAAGAGAGTGGTTCTGGTTAGGCATGGACAGAGCACGTGGAATGCGGAAGGTAGAATTCAAGGAAGCTCCAATTTCTCTGTTCTCACTAAGAAAGGCGACGCTCAGGCAGAGACCTCCCGCCAAATGCTCTTCGATGATGCATTTGATGTCTGCTTCAGCAGGTTTCCTATGTTTTTAGTTCCATTTCGCTTCATTTCTAAGCGATGGCGAATTTCGGAAGTGATTTCATCTCTATCAAAACAAAGTTTGTTCAGCACTATTTGCGTCTATTGCATGAACTGACCTAATATTTGCTTCATTACTTAAAACATGGCATTGTCTAGACATGGAATTTATCAACAGTGAACACGTGCAGTTGATTATGGGTATTAATGGATGTTTTTCATTAAGGAATGCATACTGTAATTTTAACTCCTTGTCTAGCTTGACTGAGATGAATTATGCTTCCAGCCCCCTAGTGCGATCAAAGAGAACTGCGGAAATCATATGGGGTGATCGCGAGGAGGCGATACTTACGGATTCTGAACTGAGGGAAATAGATTTGTATTCATTTCAAGTAAGATCCCTTTCATTACCTGGGGGGGG